CTCTCATCTCGGGAATCTTCCTCCTCACGCCGTGAGTATGTACACCACGCCAAGTTATTTCAACAATCCTCTGAATTTATTGCACATTCAATTTGTCAGGCCGACCTTGTTTTAAGAATTCTTGAAGAAAAGTACTAACCTTCCTCATCTCTCAGGCATTTTTTTTATTTCTTATGTACGTCTCTTCATAATTTTGTAAAGAAAACAGCTAGATGATTTATAGTGTTAAAAATACTTCATGAAATCTTATATTTCTAATAATTTAGGCCTGGTTGCACTAATTATTTTGGGTTTAAGCGAGACTTAAATATATATTGATTTGTCTTTTTAAATAAATAAAGACAATCATGTATCTTAGTCTCGCTTAAAGCCAAAATAACGTTGATGCAATCAACCCTTAGATCTCAGAGTATCGAAATCTTTATGTTTTTAAATATTTAATTTTTCGAAATGCTGGGCTGTATTTTTTAATGTTTTTGTACAATTGTGTCCGATATTTTTAAAAAGGAAATTATTATCACAATGAATTTATTTAATTATTATATTGATTGAGTAACTTTTCAGTGATTTAAATTTTTGCTTTTACACGTTGCTCGCTTTTCAACAACATGGATAGTGAATTTTAATGGAAAACCGAACGTGCGGCCAAAGCGGCCGGAAGGGAATCGCGATGATTCTGTGAAATATGGCTCAAGAGCGAGCAGGTTTTCGGCGGGGCTGCGTTAATGGGTGATTGATTAACGACCTTTTCTCATCAACTGCATCGGCTGCATATTTATCACCATGCGACCCCGACAAAAACGCGCGTGCACTCGCTCCATGCAGCCGCGTCAGCGATGCGAAAAGCGGATGACATTACTCCCTTCGCGAAGCGCAAAGCTAGCATAAAAAAACATCAAAAAGTAAGCTTAAATAAATAATTACGGAGTATGTTTTTACTATGCTAACGAGCTCATATTATAGCTCATATTATATGAATGCTATATCCAAGACACTACAATTAAAAAATTTTTAGAATTTCTTTTATAATTTATATATATATACATATATATAAATATGTTACGAAGAGAGAGAGAATGTATTTATACATATATAGAAATTTATATAAAATAATAATACAAATTAATTAGCTATATTAAAAAGTTCTGAGAATATTTTCTTCTGATTAATTTTCAAAAATAAAAGACCGAACATGTCAGTTTTCTTATAATGAAAATCTATGTGATATATGCGAGCATGTTCATTTGATGTCATATTAATTCCCGTGTAGGAGTCAATCGAGCCGAAGTACACGCGTCATGTAAGGTGTCCCTTTCGTGGACCTACGTAACAGATACTGTCGATGTTAAAGTGCCCTTCGACGAACCCACGTTTGGTGCTAACAGCTCACGCGTGTCCGCCACGTGTCGAGCGCCGCCGGTTCGCCCGCTCGTGCGTTTAACTTAGTCGAATTAGGCGGCACGAAACTTGCCCTTTCTGGCCGATTTGCAAAATAACATGGGCAGATGGTGGCAAAGTGTGATTCTCACGCGCGACATACTTTTCTACTTGAGGATTTAAAACGCATATTGAGTGAGACGAATTTTCAGTTTACGCGTTACAGTTTAGTGAGAATAGTCGAAGGGAAAAGATAAATTTTGGCGAAGGAAATTAATGTGGCGCAAAGAAAGAACCTAGAATATCATTTAAATGAATTGGTTTTCAATATTTTTACTTCAGATTTGAACAGATGTATTATTTGAATTTCATACATGCTTCTGAGTAAATAATTTATAACTTATTGAAATTTAAAGTGTATAAACAAAAAAATTATAAATATGATATTTCTTCTTTTTGTCACTTTACACATTGTAAGTAAAAGAAAAGAAGGAAAAAAAGTAAACTTTTCCGCAAGAATACTGTTTTAGGCGAAGCAAAGTATAGAGGCGTAAAATAGAATTAGAGATCGGTATATCGTCGTATCTCCGAGTTCGCGGGAAATGGCATGGTATGATCGGCAATAAATATAGTTCATAATCCAGGAATGGCTGTGCCAAGATACAGAGACATTTCGTAGCTACCCCGCCGTGCGACGCGTGTCACACGTAACGTTGTCGTAATGACTCTTTCAACTTTACGACTCTGAATTAGGATTAGATACGGCAGTATCGCACGTCACACTATCTGCTGCACGTGAGGCGGATCGTTTAATTTATTCCGCGCATGAATTGAGCCGAAGAGAGCTATTGCCGATACAGTCGAGCTTATTAAATAATCAAGATTGTCTCTTAAAATTGAATCTTTCATTCTGTTTTTTATTGCTATAGAAACGGATTTTGTCATAATACCCCCCCATTTTTATAATAACATAAACTCATTGCATCCATAATTTTTTTCAGAGATATTTTAAAGTGTTTAATGATGAATTCAAGATCTATTTAAAGCATTTTAATTTAGGTAAAGAATTTTTAATGAGAGTTTATTATCTTATATTACATGAGTTATTATAATAAAAATATAGGTACTAAAATTTTATCTCCTCACAATTTTTTTTTAAATTATTCTGTGACACCAAGACAATTGCCACTTTTCTTAGCCTGATTTGTAGTATCTGTAGACAAAAGAAAAAGATCCTTTGTTTTTGAGACACTCTGTATACAAGATACAAGAAACTAGAATGTTCTCTTTCGCAAATACTCGTTTGCGAGTCTTCGTCAGGCGCGGGATAGCGCCAATCGAAAAGTCATTACAACTTTTTGCCGACTCAATCAAGAAGTTAATGTCCTTTAACCTCGCGGCGTTCCCCTTAGGATTTGCCGAGATCTCGGGAATCGCGTAAGAAATCGACGGCTCTCACATGCCTGGTAAAATAGATCACCGGCGTATGATTGATCGCCTATTGGCTCCGTGGCAGGTTTTTGCCCGCTGCGCCCACTTGTATCGAGAATTATTCTTCCGGCATGAAATTACGATGCCCATCTTGACTTATTTCAAGATTTATGTACTTTACAAAAATAATTAGATTTGCAATGATTATTTCATTATGAACTTCGAAATGCATAAACGTTAAGCATCAAAAGAATTATAAGTCAGCTGAGAATTTTATAATAAAAAATGTATTCATATAATTATAATTTAATTGTGAAAGAAAATGATTAGTCATACTAAAAATAAAAATAATACAATATGATATATATAAATATATCTAAAGTTATTTCTCAGTCAGCTTATTTAACTGGTAAAGCTTGTTTGAATTGAAATAAGCTTTTTTTGAAGTCATATCTTATTAAATAGCATTCTTACATATTTCGTATGCACGTTTTTGAAACGATTTTCTTTGGCGTAGTCGTACTTTCATCTGTAGACCCGCGTCGTCTGCCGAATGTCCAATATAGCCGCGAGTCGGCTATAAAAAAGGAGTGGAGATCGGGGGTGCGGGCGTTAAAAATATTCAAGATCGTTTGTCAGGCTGAATTACAGTTCCCGGTCGTATCCTCTCTCCGCCGTCATCTTCGCCACCCTGTTCACCACCCTGGTAGAGCGGGATTCTGCGGTACGCGTTGCGCAACGCGGAGAGGGTAAGGCAGTCGGTCGGAGAGGAAGGGGATGGCAAGAGCCCACGACGACGACAACGACGACGACGACGACGACGACGACGACGACGACGACGACGATGACGACGATCCCAGGCACATGTGTCGAACCTGAAATATGTAGGCGTGGTCTGGACGGTGCTAGCAGACGCGTCCCGACGAGCGAATATGTTCACCCCGTTGCTACGCTCCACCCCCGTATAACGCTGCAGACACTGCTATTGGCCAGTGCCACCCTCGTCGCGCCTCCACCTGCCACGCTCGCGCTACCCTACGCGACAGCTACCCCTAAATACGGGGGATGCGCGAACAGCACTCTCATTTTAACGCGAACCACCGATACGGCACCGAGTGTTCGCCACTTTAGTGCGCCCCGGACTGTACACCAGATCGGTGGGTCCGTTAGGGGTTGTTATAATTTTGCTCTTTGTGACTTATTCGGACTCGCATGCGAAAATCGGTTTCGGCAAAATAGCTTTGTGAGAAAAAGTGTAATCTAATGTTTTAAAGAAGATCGAAGAAGATCCATCCTGAGGTATGGGAAACGTGGTCCAACTAGTGTAGCTTACAGACCGCATAATTAGAAGAAAGACATTTGTCATCGTAATCCGGTAAGTACTATTCTGTTACTTATGTGATATATAAAGAGATAATAATGAGACAAATAAGTTAAAAAATTTTTTAATATTTAATTCAAAATCTTGTTTTCTTAAAAGCTTCTTTTATTATTTAAGATGGTACTCTAACTTACAATGTAGGTAGTTGATTAATTGTATTATTGTTTTTATTTATACATTAATGATATGTAGTTTTTGTAGAATCAATTTGAGAGAGAAATACGAAATAATTATTTCAAAAGATATTATCGAAATAAATTATATATCGTATCAATCTCAAAAAAATAAAATAAGTAATGTCCTAATTATATGAATCTATGATTTTGTACTAGAATTTTTCGCTTAGTTGTCTTGCTATAAACAAAAGAAATTTCTGAAATTGAAATTTATTAGTTGATTTTATACAAGTTACAGATCATAATCTATAATAAAAGTTTACCAATATTTTTCCAAAATAAGATTTAATTATAGCATGTTTTAATTATTACGTTTAAAGTATTGTATTTTTATTACTTGCATCACTTTAATTTTTATAATGACGATTGTAAAAATATCTTTTCAAAAACATATCGTGCTAGATGTGAAGATTTTTTTTACATTACGTGTATAAGAAAAAGTATCGTCTTAACTTTTCTCAACTATCTCGACGACCAACCTTGCTTTGCTCTGATTCATGCCTCTCGAATGTAGGACATCTGGGCCGAGTGTATCGAATTTTGGTCGATCAGTCACTCCACGTTGTTGCTGCGACATTAGCACTCACTGTCCACTTATCGTCATTGTCGTAGGTTAATCATCCGGAGCGAGCAGGATGACAATGGAAGATCGCACGGGTGGCATCGATCGTGCCACCCCCGCGACCTCGACGCCGGCCACGACGGTACTGACGTCGGCATGCCCTTCGTCCATCAGCGACGTTACGCCTGATGCTTCGTACCCCCTTCAACGAGCTAGCAAGCGCTCCTTCGATGTCGCTTTCCTCGTGGCACCCGACGAGAACCTGGCGCGTCGACAAAACGAAAAATTGCGACTGGTAACCGGCCGGAAAGACCGTCTACGAGACGATATCTCCATTGATAACGTTCTGGATACTGACAGGTTGCCGCAGAATCTTACCATCAAGCACTACGACAACGATTCCGGCGGTTCAGACCGAAGAAGATTGCTGCATTGTACGGAGAATTCGCTAAGTCCACCGTACGTATCGCCTAGAACCTTGACGCCAACTTTGCCAGGACTCTCCCCAAATTCTGACGGAAGGAGATACGCGCCGACTGGTGGTCGACTTCAAAAGACTCCGAGTCCGCCTACATTTGTTGGCCATCATCAGTCTATGCTCACTTGTCCTGAATCGACGGATTCTTCGATCTTAGCCTGTACGAAGGTTTACGAAACTGGCATCTCTTGCGTAACTGATCGTCATGGAGAATCCCGTAGTGCCTTCACGAAGGTAAATCTAGTCGGACAACGGAATGGTTTCAACGATGACAGCCAAACATCGCCGAGGTCGTCGATATCTCCGGATGATCGCGCAAGTTATCAGAGCAGCGTCAGTCCGCCGGTGGTATCGTTGCCCAGTGTAACGAGCTACAAATATGCACCGTTCCCTACCAAGATGGCGTATCCCTTTTTGACTATGGGAGCAGAGACTGGTCAGTCGGGGCTATTAGAGAACTTGAAAATCCCGCAGATCGCTCAACCGCCCAAGGTGCCTAGTCCAAAGGTACCCGCTTTCCGACCGGATCTTCCGCCAGTCTATCCCAATCTTCCCTATAATCCTATCTCTGTATTTCCACCGATGGCGGATGCTCTCGCCAGGCCGAGATTTCTGGCTACGGCGGCCGGCCTTTTACCACCGTCGTTTGCCGCCTTGACTTTACCGGCGCAGAACGTCTGCGCCAAGTGCAACCTGTCGTTCCGTATGACTTCCGACTTAGTCTATCACATGCGCTCTCACCACAAGAGTGAGAGTTCGAGCGAGACGGCGAGGAGGAGAAGAGAGGAAAAGCTCAGATGTCCCGTTTGCGATGAGAGCTTTCGCGAGAGGCATCATCTTACTAGACATATGACTGCCCATCAAGATAAGGAGAGCGATGGTATCGTTGACCAGGTCGAAATCAAGAGGAGGACTACTACTGTTCACAGTAAGTGACGACGAAAACTGCCGATCGAGGATGATATTCTAACAACTGGCTATTCTTTTGAGAACTAAATTAGTGCGTAACGAGAAGTAGCAACTTATGGGATTTGTGATAACAGTTAAATTTGTCATTACGTCTTATTAGATTGAGCAAGAAATTAAAACGTCGCTCTTTGCGAGAAATGAGAAAAAGAATGTTCGAACTACGTATCAGAAGTACCTACAAAAATATTATCATGTTGTCAGTAATTTCGGTTAAACGAATTTTTGTACATTTTTGTAATTGTAAAAATGTTCAATGTACGGATTTACATAAGTATTGTTTTATTTATTTAAATGAATAGATTTATAATTAAAAAATTTATTACCTATAATACATACCAATAATACATTCTTGCTAGGAAAAATCTATTTGAAATTGAATAAGAAACTCAAAGATGAAAGGCCGCTCCTTGAATTTATGACGTTCTGTATAAATGTACTATTGCGGCATTCACATTGTATACGTGTATAATAAGGAAATTTTAATGTCTATATAGAAAAATTAATATCTGTGGGTACGTCGATCCCACGTACACGATTGCTCTACTATAATTCATGAACTGCGACGAAGTCATTCCCTGTTTAGTCAATATTAGGTAGGAACAATTTGTAAATAAATTTAATTGTTTAAGTTTAATTGTGTAAGTTTAAATAAGAATTATCTGTAAAGAAGAGTAAAGAGGAAGAGAGAGAGAGGGGGAGGAGAGAAAGAAAGAGAGAGAAAGTGAATGAATGAGAGTGAGTGAATGAATGAAAGAGATTAATAATTGAATTGATCAATTGAAACATAAAAATCTATAATTTTTAGAAAATGAAAAAAACTATTAAAATATTTTCTAGGAACTTTCTTTTTGTGTAAATAAGAGATCATCTTTTAAATATCATTTAATTCATTTTTATACGTGGAAAATATAACTTTATTTTATGAAAAATTAATTTTATAATTTTTGTATTTTTTGAGAAGAAGATAGAAATAAACAGAAGTAGGTAGTAATTTAAGACTGAGATATAATTTTGATCTTTTCCAGAAAAATATATTAAAATTTAAAATATATGATGAGCTATAATTAGTATCTATATTATTATTTATATTATTATGTATATAAAATTCTAAAACGTTTTATAAACGTTTAGAATTTTATATTATTTAAACGGTTTTTTTTTAATAAACATTTATGGATATTATATGTTACATACCGTTGTTATACTTAAGTATGAGTACAATGTATTTGATATTTCTGTTTCTTCTTTCATTTAAATTCTCAAAATTTTATAAATTTAAAAACATATTAAAAACTGTTTGAGAACATTTAATTTGTTTAGAATAAAAGATTTAACCTAAAAAAAACGTAGTTCTGGGCACAAAATTGTAGCAATAAAATATCTTAAAATCATGCATATTTGGGGAAAAGCAGCGTGCTAAAATTGTCAGAGATTAAAATAATCGCGGTCGTATTTCGATATACTCACAAATTACATACGGTCCATTCGAACGACTCCATTTCCACAATGTAGAAAGTAAAATATTTGCCGCGTATTTACAGCAGCAGACAGGTGAAACGGGTGGTGCGAATGTGGCGATAGTAACAGGGGGCGGTCGGGGGTGCGGAAGGGTTGCGTGTGTTGCGGAGGATGGTGCAAGCGTGTAAAGCGAATTTTGGCCGTGTGTACGGAGGTGAGGGCGGCGTGGTAATAAATAGATCGTAAACCGTAACCCGCGTCACACACAAACCGTCGGAGCGCGCATAATGGTAGGAAACAATGAATGCCGTAATCGGAAACAGTGCCGGTTTGTTATCTGCCATTTACACTCCATTTAACTTCAAACGGCGAATCGGCCTGCGCGCATTCGCGTTTTAAATACAGCCCGGTTTCCAACCGCTACCGAGAACCGCCCCCACCATCGTTCTCCACCCCCGTCGCACTTCCACTGACGGTATGCGGCTTAACATAGGGTTAAGCCGTCGCCGAGTGGCTTAATATTGTCCGAAAATTACGTGAATTATCGCCTCGGTGTTTCCCGATGTTACTGCAAGAATTGAATCCGAGTATAGGAATAACATTTTTATCCAAGTACTTGTAAAGAGTAAAAACATGTTATTATTTCTGATCGGAATTATTTAATTTTAGTTGATATTGCGATTCGGTATGATAGAATTTTGAATAAGATTATTCATAAGCATTTCGAGGAGAAAGGCGTATCATTAGTACGACCTATGCAGTATTCTGTACAGCAATAATCACAGTAGCGTGTAAATACATGTAGTAAAACTTTTAATACAAGAGAGTATGCGTTTATAAATTATAGGACTGTAAGTAAGATGGATGTATCAATATCGCGATTAAGAAAGAAAAAATTCAAATATAGACGTTTAATGAACGATTCGATATTACATTCTACAATTGTCAGAAATATTATCAGAAATAATATTGACAGAAATATTAACTAAGATATCGCAACGTGTGTGTGTACGAAGTTGTTTTAAGATTAAATGTATTATATAAGTCTGTATAGTAAACTACTCTCTCTAATAATCTCTCTTTATTATAGAGATATCAACGTTTTGTTTCGTTTCATAAGAATTGATTTATCCAGATATCACGTTGTATTACTTCGTTGTAAATATCACTTTGTACATAAGCACTGTATGTAATCTAGCTCGTTGTTAATTAATAAAAGAATATCCGTGATAATTAAAACCATATGAAATATTTCATATCCTCCTAATTATTATCTGTCGAGAGGTTTAGTTCATAGATTTACGAATAAAATATTAATTGAAGTTTATATTTATTACGGGAGTATGTATTTCTATTTTTATCTTTATCTGTATATTAAAGGTGTGATAAAAAATTTTGTTACGAAATAGATATGTAAAACACTTTTTATACCTTTTTTTTTATAATAAAAGAATTATTTTTAACTGATTTTGTCGGGCTCGATACGAGTTCACAGTGACTTCCCAGAAATAGAATCGATCTTGTTCTTTACTTCATGGACGTCGTCCGTCCTCCTCTTGTCTCCTCGGTGCTAAATCATCAAAAGCCGATTACGCGGCAATAGATTAATTTCTGGCCACTCAGAGACCTCTCCCTAACATCCGATTCGTGGGTACCGGATCGATTATTATTTCGTCCTACGTTCAAGTAAAATAGTGTATGAATCGTCAAATAATCTTTCATAAATTTATTTTTAAGAGCTGTAATACTAAGAATCTTTAATTATAGGAGCTATTTATGCATCAAATTTCTTTAAACTTTTTAATCGCACTAGATTTTACAATATTTAAGTTAATATATGTATAATTTCCATTATGTATTCTGATATACTTGAAACTGAACCTAAGGAAACATGGAAATCATAATTGTTGATTAATAAATTATATTAAGATAATATTACACATTGACACTTATTGAATTGTGTCATTTTCACGCGGGCGCGAGCAAAAGATATCTCGCAAACTCTTTCACAACTGACTCTTACCTCTCTCTCTTGAGAGAAAGTCATTGCGAAATCCCCTAAACGGGTAACGTTAAGCTCGTCGAAACCGCGGCCAATACGACAAACAATCTCTTACCGCCCTCGTTCCGGCTTAAGCTCGGCCCTTCACCACCCCCGAAGTAAGTGTACTTACCCTCTGCCCGAGGTCCATAAAGATAAATAACATGGAGCACCCGGACCTCGTTGTATCCCTTACAGAACGATGAAGGGACCCTTGAGGACTCCCATCATCCCTTCGTTCTTTTCATCCTTCTTTTTCTTTTTCATACTGTCTATCGGCAAAATTCTTTCTCTACTTTTCTCTACTTATCCTTTTTTATTTTGGCTTACTTTTATTTTGATTCATTTTTCTTTTGACTTTGATTTTTTTAGATTAATAAATATTTTTATAGTCTTTTTTTTTTAAATAAACATGAATCCTCGAATTTCATTTTCTAAATATTTGACTTTATTCAACAATAGTTCATTTTCTTTACATTTATGAAGTTAAAATTTATGAAAATAAAAATAAATTAGTAAATTAAAAAATTATTTATTAAAAATTATTTGAAAAGCAAGAATAAATTAATGAAACAAAAGCGTTACGAAATCGAGGACCCCCTTTTCATTTAAATCGAGCACCCTGTATCTGTCTTCCTCCCGCACGATCGGTCCATCGCTCTTCCCACCCTTGTTAGCGATACTTCCCGTGGAGAATTGCGCGCATGCTTGTTCTGTCAGTGAAATAATGACAATGTCATAGCCCGGGCCTGATTCGCCACGGTACCCTTGCCACGTGGGCGACGATTGGACGCGGATATGCTAATATGGCGTCCGTTCCGAGACATTAAGTTCTCGGTTTACCGATTCTCGCCAGACGAGCCGCGTCTTGACGTCCACATCACCTTCCACCATTGTGCCTTCAATCATAGGATACACGTTTTCTTCGGGCATTCTATGGGGTCTTCACAAGGGAATACATGAGTCATTGCTCACGTCCATATAGAATTTGATCTTTTTTGAAATTAGAGTTGTTTTTACAATTTAACTGTTACAAAATTCTCAAAAATTGTGTTTTTTTATTTATGTATAGAAATGAAAGAAATTTTAAAATTAATCATATTAATTGTATTGTATTTATAATGTTTAAATATTGTGAAATATTGACATGTATAAATACTCTGCTTATCTTTATTTATTGTAGTTTTCGATATGACTTCTCGACTTTTAACTAATACACAAATACAACGATTAATCGAATTTCGCGTCGCTTTTTGAGCTAAGTACTTGTCTGTCCTTTATCGTCGGCCACCCTGATTTTCGTTTGGTCACGGTCTTCCGGTACGATTATGTAACTTGACTGCGAACACGCAGCTTACATCGGTCTCACGATACAGCCAGTTACAGTGTTTCGATGTCAATCAGGCGTCGCTAAACGATTTTACTCGCGCAAGCTAGCGCTTTTCTAGGGCATATGTTGCGATTCGCT